CAGGCATGCACTGCTCGCCAATCACCGCTGGTCTAATCTGCGCAGAACTGGCTCATCTCGAACACAGCCAATGGCTCGAATACAGCAAAGCGGCGTTGGTGATGTACTGCGTTGTATGCCGGAAGTATGCAACGACAAAATTGTGTTTTGTTGAGGGAACAAACAAATTCAAACTTGAATATGTTATTATGTTTGTGAATGTGTACAAAATAAAGGTTTATTACATTTAAAACGGTTCAGTTGTTATTTTGACTCGTTTTGACAGCTGACCAGTGGGGCCGGTAGATTCTTGGCAGGGCCGGTAAATATTCAGAGTTACCGGCCCGGCTGGCCGGTTGGTTTTGAAGTTAATGTCCACCCCGATATCCCAACCACCCCCTCTCTTTGTTTACTGGGAAACCTGGACGATGTCCCGATTGAAACATCTTTGGTTCACGTGGTTCTGACTGCCATATGCATCACTAAGAAAACTATCCTCTTGAATTGGAAAAATAGAGAAACTCTCTGCATTATCCAGTATAGAAATCTTTTGTTAGATCATATTACACTTGATATAGCCTCTGCTTCCACTTCAGATCAATCTCTCTGGGCTCCTTTGATCGGTTCCATCACATAGAGAGGGTGAGGGGCCGTTGATGTTGTCCTGTGGGATGGTGTGGGTGGGGGGGTGTGGGGTCTGAGTTTGGAGTATCCGGATGTTCCCTGGAGGTGGGTTCACTGGGGGGTGTCTGGGACTGGGGGGCCGTTGCCCCCCTCTGGAGGTGCTTGGGTTGCCTCGGGGGGTGGACTACTGGCGGTTGTGAGTGGGGCCCCTTGGAGATCTTGGCGGCGGCCATGGGTCACTGCCTGGCAGCTGCATTGCCCCTGGGTGGGGGCCTGGGGGCTCGGGGTTTGGGGGTGGCCGGCCCCGGGTGGGGATCTGGGCGGGGCCTTGGGGGTCGGGTCCTGACATGTATGCTGCCGGGAAGAAGGCAGGAACATGCAGCAGTGCCTGGCCCGGGTTCAGGGGCCTCAGGTAGACCTTGGCTCCTCTGCCGTTCCATCACAGGGGAGGGGGAGGTCCAGGAGGGGGAGGACCCAACCTTACCTGGATGTCCCATGTCTTATATATTCTGGAAGTTGTGCAAATGCAGGGATGGGCATAGATATTCTGCTGGGTTGGTGCCCTCGGACTCCGTGAGGCTCTGTAATGCTGCTGCTTTGGGCCCTGGCAGGATGGGCTGGGGTCTCCATGCCCTGGGTGCCGGTTTGACAACAGAGGTGCCTATTGGGGCCAGTAGGGGAGCTGGCTCCCTGGAGGGCTAAGCCCAACCAGCCATTCCTCCCCATCCCCGCATGTTCCTCTCCTCGTGCTCCCTCACATCATCACACAAACATACACATAGGACCTTGGGGGGCGGGCAAGTCAGGGAGTGCGGGTATGGACCCCATTTCCGCATTCCTGTGGCAACCTGCCCCCCAATTTTATTTTTTACCTTATACACTTCCACTGATGACATTCCACACAAACACACACTTAGGGCCTTGGGAGTGAGCACATTCAACGGCATTTGGCAGGGGGATATCTCAGGCTCCTCCCGGGTGCCGGTGCCCACTTCCAATTTAAACCGCACCTAGACACCGAGGGCTGAGGGTGTAAGTGGGGTGGTGCGGTGGCATCAGCTGGCATAGGCCGGATGATGCCCGCACTGCCCGCTCACCACAGCCATGGAATACACCTCATGATCAAACAACACTATATTGGAGCAGGCGGAGGGAGACTAGGGGTCTTAGCCACCTCTGTTGTTACTTGGCTTCCTGGGGCTGGAGGCTAGGAGGGAGATCTGGCCGTATGGTTGGGATCTGGGGTGGTAGATTGCTGTGCTCAGCGTTGGGCGGGGGAGCCTGCTCATCAGTACCCCAGCAGAAAGGGTCAAACTGGTTACCGGTGATGGTTGTACCCAATGTGCAGCAGTACCGGGACCAGAGTGAATAGGGTGTGTATGGGGAGCATGAGTGGGTGTCCGGCGTGCATTTTTGTAAGTCTTTGGTTGTATGTGTATGTGTGAGCATGAGGGAGGGAGTGTGTGACTGTGTTTGTGTATGACTGTATATGTCAGGTGGGGCCTTTGACTCCTCCCCTCTCCTGGAACTTCTTTTGATGATATAGATCTTCGTCCCCCCCTCCCCCTGCCACACCTGGTGTGAGGGGTTGTGCCTTGGTCTGCCTGAGTGTTCGTGGCAACCTGGTCTGGGGGTTTAAGATTTTGGCATCTGCCTGATAGATCCCGGTGGCTGCCTGGTGGGGTCTGGGTCCCTGGGCTCTGCTGGGTCCCCGGCGGGGGTGGTCGCCCCTGGGTCCCGGGTTGCTGGGTCCCGGGCTCGGCCGGCTAGGGGGTGGGAGGCTGCGGGCGGGCCTGAGGGCTTGCCGCTGATGTCTCCCGGGACTCTGCCGGCTGCTGGTTGTGGCCCCCCGGGGCGATCCTCTGTGCCTCTCGAGGGGGGCGGGGCCTTCCTGGTTGCAGTCTCCTTGGGGTTCCTGTGTTCTGGGGCAGCGCCTGGATCTCTGAGACTTGGAGCTCCCCCCTTCTCCTGCGCATCTTTGGGGGGCGGATCCAGGGTATCCGCGGGTCCTTAAAAAGTCTTAAATTGGCTTTTCCAAATTTAAGGCATTAAAAATCCTTAAACATGACAAATAATCCTTAAATACAGTTTCCAAAGGTCTTAAATTACCAAAGACAGAATAAACAAGATTCTTTTATTTCAATTTTCATGAATTTCTAGTTAGTGTTCAGCATTTTTTGTGTATGATATTGGCATAAGCGAAACCGTACACATTCAGTTGGTATTGAAAGGGGGCTTTTTAAGATGAGCACATTAGCTGGTTAAGCTAGTGGGAGATTGCGCCATGGGGACGTGCAACTTTTATGGTAACTGGATGGCTAGTCCCACATTCGCAATAGCTGGAAATTATAGTTTAAATTTAATTTTAAAAAGTAGCTTAAATTTGGTCAAATTGGCCTTAAAAAAAGGTCTTAAAAAGTCTTAAATTTGGCTCCCTTAAACCTGCAGATACCCTGGGATCTGTGGTCCCTCACACTCTCTGTTGGACGCTCCTATAGAGAAACCTTACATAAACAAGCGCGTGTACACACACAGGTGCTCACATGGTGCTCTCAAAAGTATGGGTTCGGGCACGTTAAACACAGGTCTTAAGACTATGGTGGGCACTTAATGCGTTGTGATTTATTATCGTGATTCTTCAGTTAAGCAATGTTGATTATATATTTCTTCATCAAGTTGACGCAGTGATAGCTTGATCTTGTTGTCTTGTTGTGTCCCATTTTTTTTTGCCCTTTTGCTTTTTATTGTCTTTTTCTGCAGGTCTAGAAGCAGACCCTTGTTCATTGTTTCTTTTTGTGGAACCCCCCCCCCCCCCCTCCCCACCTTTTCTTTTCCTTTCTCTTTCACCTCTGTCTCCGTGTCTGGTCGGCATTACAAAGCATTCCATAACAATAAAGTTTTAAGTATCAGGCGTGACATTAAAAGCAAACGCTTTTATGCTCCACCTGAGAGTAAATCTGTAAGGCTTGTTACCAGCATTCAGACATCAATTCTGCTTGCTTCACAGCCAGACAGGACACGGTAAAAAAAAAAAAACATAGTTTATTTAAAGTTTATTTTTTTACATTAATGGTATATTTTTTACTATAAGATGCCCAAATTTTAATTTGAGACTCGCCGAACGACATTGAATTCACAGATAAAAAAGATGTGGGTTCAACTTTCATTTTGGAACAATTTTTCAAGCAAGGGAAGGGAATGATCTGAGCATGCAGGAGGACCGACCCATCATAAACCTTTGTCGGCTGTGCTGAAGAGAAAGGTACAGAACCACATTATTTAATTAATTAGCTGCGCGTTCTCCTGTCCTCTGTCCTCTGGGCCACACACACACACACACACACACACACACACACACGGGACTGTCTCAGCTGTTATTTTCGTTAAGGAGTGTGCACGTACAGCATGTGTGCCTCATGCACGAGCCTACTGTTGAAGCTGCCTTTACGCTTTTGGCCTGAGGGGGCAATCGCGAGCATAAAAATTCAAAAGTCCGAAAAGTCCCTTTAAAGCTTCTATTAAATCCATTGTGTTGACGTATTTTAACAAGTTTCCTCTACGCTGCAGGAGTTAAAGTTTACATTACGGAGTAAAAGTTCGGCAGATGCGTTTGTTTATATTTGGCCGCTGCGTGCCGGGTGGGGGGAGGGGCGACTCACACAGACAGCTGGTGTCAGCTCTGAAAAGCGTTGATCGCAATTTGCAGATCACGTTTATTTTTCACAGAGATCGGCCGCGGATTCATCTTCCGTTGGCATTCTAGGAATCGAAACTAAGAATCGAAGAAAAAAAAAACTTTGAACGATTCCGGGAAAAACTAACTGTTGGAACCAGTTCCAATTGATGCCCAACCTTACTTCTAAGTAGGGGTGGGCAATATATCGGCATCAATATTGGTATCAGCCGACATTATTCATTTTTTAACATATCGGTATTGGTTCGATAAACAAAACCGGGCCGATATTAACAACCGATATTTTTTCCATCTCGTCTCAATTTGCTTGACTGTTTCAGAGGGTGAGGGGGGTGATGTGTAATTGTTCAGTCATGTGAACAGTAAATGTAATCATTTCAGAACCGTGTGTGTGCGTGAGTGCGTGTGTGTGTGTACATAATATAAATTCAACTTTAATAATTTTCATTCTATACAAAATCTACTGATTTTAGAAGCATTTATGTCAGTTTATCGGTATCGGCAAATATCGGTTATCGGCCATAACAGTGATCTTAATATCGGTATCGGCCCAAATATTTCATATCGGTGCGTCACTACTTCTAAGTGTCATTTACTTTTCAGGAAGAAAATACTAATCTGTAGATCGATTTTTAAACATGTTCAGATGTATATAACAATTAAATTAAAGTGTGTCTAATCATAATTTTCGTCTGTCTTTTAGCCTATCCAGAAGTCCCACCTCATCATGTCTGGGAAAAAAAGGAGGTTGTGAATGATCAGGAGCTCTGGAACCAGGAAACAACCTCCAGTTTGGACCAGAAGGAAGCAGAACTTCCACAGATGAAAGATGAACAGCAGGAACTCTGCATCAGTCAGTTCATTCTGAAGCATGAAGATGTTTCAGTCACAGAGATTTCTCCTTCTGAAGAAACAGACTGCTGTAAACCAGAACCGAACTGGAACCAACCCTTGTGTCAGAGTTCTGCTGAAGCTGAGAACCAAGATCAGGATGGATGCAAAAATGAAAACTCAGAATCAAAGAGCAGTGATGGCCTTATACAAAATAAAAGACGTAAACAAACTAAAGATCACAGAGATGGTGTAGATGGTCCCAAAAGAAAAAAGCACAAGAAAATTGAAACAGGTGAGAAGTCACATATGTGTGAAATTTGTAGTAAATCTTTTTCTCAGTGTAATAAATTGACAAAACACATGAGAACACACACAGGTGAGAAACCTTATTCATGTGAAACTTGTGGTAAATGTTTCTCTGATAAAAACAGTTTGACTGCTCACAAAAGGACTCACACAGGTGAGAAGCCTTATTCATGTGAAACCTGTGGTAAATGTTTCTCTGATAAAAGTACCTTGAGTACTCACAAAAGGACTCACACAGGCGAGAAGAAATGTGTGTGTATAGCTTGTGGTAAACGTTTTTCTGAGAATAATGTCTTGAATGTTCACATGAGAACTCACACAGGTGAAAAGCCTTATTCATGTGAAACTTGTGGTAAATGTTTCACTCAGAGTTATGCATTGACCGTTCACATGAGAACTCACACAGGTGAAAAACCATATTCATGTAAATTTTGTGGTAAAGGTTTCTGTGGTAAAAGTGGCTTGACTACTCACATGAGAACTCACACAGATGAGAAGCCATATTCATGTGAAATTTGTGGTAAATGTTTCTCTCAGAGTTTTAATTTGACTGTTCACAGGCGAACTCACACTGGTGAGAAGCCCTATACATGCGAAACTTGTGGTAAACAGTTGTCTTATAAATGTAGCTTGACTCAACACATGCGAACTCACAGGTGAGAAGCCTTATCCATGTGTGATTTGTCACACATGGATAAGGCTTTATCCATGCCATTCGCCTGCAGACAGCCTTTCTACTACTGTAGTGTGTGTAGTGATTACCTGCATAATTACCTGGTAACACCCAGAACACATCTGTGGTCAGTAGGTGGTTCAGTTAGCAGGATGTCTTTATTACAGATTAGCCACTCCTTGCTTGGTGGTGAATGATTGGCTGTCACAGCAAATTATATTGTGTGCTGTATTATGTACAGGATGTATATAAAATACAAAAAATTAAACTTGAAAGTGTAAAGTATGAGAATAAAGTAAATGACTGCAGTCCATTTTTATAAACAGAAACTTAATTTCCCACTACTGTTTTGTGAGTTTCATGGCTGTTGCCAGTTGCACATCAGCACCAGAAGATTCTAGATGACAAGCGAAGTCCTACTCCATACTAGGGATGTCCCGATACAACTTTTTCACTTCCGATACGATACCGATATTGCAGCCTTCAGTATTGACCAATACCGAAATCAATCCGATATATCAGCACAAATCATACATACTTTTACCTATTTCATAGTATGGAATGTATGAAAGGCTTGATCAAGTGATATTACTCAGTCGGAGAACAAGAGCCAATAGCAGTAAGAATTACATTTTTTATTTTTCTTAACCGTAGGTTGCAAAAATGTGAACCTTAACGGATCGCTTATATCGGGGATTTTTGATGTCGCCTGATATAATCCGATACACCGTTTATGGGCCAATATTGAATTACTTCCGATACCGGAATGGGATATCCCTACACCATACCATTTTATTTCTAAAGCATTTCAAAACAAAGCTTGACAGCTGACCAAAGTGCTGTACAGGTACAAAGAAATAACAAATAGAAGCAACAACCAATACTGTACATGGCACAATAGACTAAAAAACAACAATAGGAAAACGTCAAGTCATAAAAGTAGGTCTCTGAAGTCGACCTAAATAGAAGGGAGGAATGGAGCCTGCCTGACAGAGAGGGAGAGTGCTGTAACGTAATGAAGTTCATTATTTTCAGCTCCACACAGCTGCCCCTGTACACAGTAACACCCGTGTAGAAAACGCCATGGTCGGGTGTTCCTCAGACTGTTTACATTCCAGGAGAAGAGCCAGAAGGAGAAGAAGAACGCTTTTCAATAATCAAAGTACTTAATTTGTGATTAAAGCTAGTCGAACCAGATGTTGATCAATAATAATCAAGTGAATGATCTGTGGAATAAAGATGTCATGGTTTATGTGTTTAATGAAAACAGGACTACTGCACAGACAGACTGACCCTCATCTCCATAGAAACGCATGACACATTGTTCCAACCAATCAGAGCTTTCGGCTGCCGTAAGAGAATCTGGCTTGTTGAATTAAAGTGTCCAATCCCGTTTACTAAAACTTAAAACAACTCAGAGATATAAAAACAAGGCAACGCCATTTTATGAGCTGTTCCATTTTGACTTCAGTTCTATTCACCGTCATCCCAAAGAGAAGCACAGCCTGGCCAGATGTGTTTTCTTCTTTAAACTAAGAACTGTGAAGTTGGAGATTTTCGTCGTTTAACAACCAGACGACATCCTTTCAAAATAAGAGCACCTGCTGACGCTGCCGATTGTTACCTGGGTCGACCCTCCAGACGGGCTTCGAAACGCTATCGCTGTTTCGACCAGCTCCAGCGCACATCCGAGGTCTTCCGACCTGGCATTTCCTGATCTACCTGGGAGGCCCCCACTGGGTACGTACACGGCAAAATAGCAGCTCATGTCATCACTTTATAAGCCTCGTGATATCTAGTCATAACAATCAGACTACCAGATTCAATGACGTCAGCCTAAGGAGTCTGAACCAACCACACACACACACAAACACACACATCGAACATCACATTCATTTCCAAACAACACAGAGTTAGTCCTGATAGATTGTTAAGAATTTATAATTAAGAAATTAAAGATTCTTAAAGGTGCCTTAGGCAGTTTTGAAATTTTATGCTCGCTATTGCCCCCTCAGGCCAAAGGTGTAACTGCAGCTTCAATAGTAGGCTCGTGCACGAGGCGCGCGTGCTATATGTGCACGCTCCCGAACAAAAACAGCTGCGTCAGCCCCATACCGGTGTAATTTACAGGTTTGCCGGCATGACTTCGACAGAGGTAATAATTGTAAAATATTTAGACCAAATCAATTTGGGCTGCATATTTTCCAGGTTGTGATAGGTGCATGCACAGCAAAGTGAGTTGAGTGAGGAAGCATAATAATACCGATATATGAATACATTATGTATGATGTTGAAAAAAATACTAGTACACAAATTATGCATAAACGTAGGCCCTATTGTAATATTAAAATAATTGCACTGGTAGTTAATAAGCACTTTACTGGTTGCTACTTGACAAGTACAGGCCATTTACTAGAAAAAAAATCATGTGATGGACTGCTACTTTTTTTCTTTTACTAGAGTAAAAATACATAGAGGTACTGCTACTATAACTTGAGTGCACCTTTTGTGTACTCTACCCACCTCTGCTTTTCTTTTGCATCCAGGTAAAGATAGTCTTAGCAACATTATTTTCATCAAATGTAAATACACCATTACCTAAATGTTTTATGGATTATTACAGCGAAGCTTTTGTAAAACATGCATTCCATCACATCAACGTGTAAACCTTATTACTTTTCCTTCAAGGAATCCAGTGCATCTCATTACTCCGAAGTTTCTGAAGAGAGTAGTGATTCTGGAGGGGGCAGAGGGAGAGCAGGAAGAGGAGCAGGAAGAGGGAGAAACATATATGAAAGTACAGGCCGGGGGAGAAGCCAGGCTAGAGGAAGAAGAGCTAGAGCTGGACGCATTAGTGAGGAAGACATAGAACGGGTTGCTCAGATGTCTGCTGACAGAACTGCAGAGTTACAGGTTGGTCATAATGCAGAACACTAATACATTTCACAATCATAAAGTTTATAAAATAAATGCTGCCTTTCGTTTTCAGGCACAGTTGCAACACCTAAGTATGGATGAAAAAGATGAAGTCCTTCAGATGGTTGTTAAGACGTCTGCCAGGAGTGTTACTGGACATTATGGACTATAGACAGGCCACACCAGGACACCCTCCATCAAACCAGGGTCAGCCAGCTTGGTGCACCTGCTCCTACTGCCGAATGATGCCTACAGACCTGGAAAACAAGTGCTGTAGACAGGATCCAGAATGGGGTTTGAGCAGGCGTGCTCATTTTAACCTGTACTGCATGGATGAAGGCATCCTGCGTTTGGCTCGGCAGACGTGGAATGACATTTTGGCTCTGCGTGATAGCCAAGACCCTGGATCAGATAATCGGGAGTACCGTTACTGTGCCTATAGACAGTACACTATTTGGCAATATGGACGTCTTGGCGCTGGCAATCGTAGGGTGATTCCTTCCTGCTGTGTTTGGAGGATTAGAGACAAATACCCTGACCACTTTGGGATTTATGTTGGTTATAAAGAAGCCCCCTTCCGCTGAAACAAACATGCAACTCATGACCAACTCAGAAGTTTGACTTACTTTTATTGTTGTTGCAAACTTTTTGTACATATTTACATAAATAAATCTGTAGTGTTCAACTTTGATTGCCATCAGCCTCTGTTTAGGTATCACATAAGTCCTGTAAAAAACAAAAATTACATTTATGTAATTTTCTTCCACAAAAATGGAGAGGAGATTTGGTTATAATCACTACCTGTCCTCTGCGTTGTTGTGTCTGTACCAGTTCAGCTGTAGGAGGAGGGCTGATCCCGGAGAGAGGACCCAGGGCCCTGGGGTCATCAGCCTGAATGCTTCTTCTTTTTGGGAGTCCCCCAGCAGAGCTGAGGCGCTTCTCCAGGATTCTTGTCTGCAGCTCTGGGATGTAGCCGTAGTCTTTGGTCTCCTTTACAGTGTGAACACTGTAACGCTGCGACTTTTTGTTGTAGACTCGTTTGTGTCTAAAAAAATGAATTTAGACATTAGGAAATTATATAAAGGTATTATGAATATATAAAAGCCACCAAGTTTGACTTACGATACTTCGCCTTTGATGTTCACATGCACTGGGCGATGGTTATGGTGGTTGTAGTCTAATGCAGCGAGGAGTGTCCTAGCTTCATAGACACCAAATGAGAATGCAAAGCGTTTCCCGGCGTACATCAAGATGTGATTTTGGAACGACTCCAGCTCAGCAGTGGTCCTGGGGGAAAAAAACAATGTCTGTAGAAGAAATAAATTCTAACTCAGCGCAATATAATATACTTTGTGGTAGGTATTACAACATTACAGATACTGGAATCAGGGCAATACCAATCTAATGTCCTCATGTGTGTAGTTTACAGATAACAAGAACCAATACTAAAAATGTAGAAACAGCAGTATTTTCATCTAAAATATTAATTTTCAGATAAAATTTCATATTAGTGGTTGTTTATTTGTGTTTTACATTTTATCTAAATCTACTTCAATTGTAGCACCAGGCAGAGAAGACAATAAAACCGGTCTTCTGCTTCATTGCATTGTTTGGTGTGGTATAAGTAACTGTTATGGTACTTGTTATTGGAAAGAACTCAGATCCAAGTGCAGAGATTGTATTAGTTAGAAAAAAGCTGCATTGTTGTTTTCCAATTTTGTTTTACTGTTAGTAAGACAATAACTTTACATTTCCACCAAATGTCAGTAATTTACCTAAAGGTGAGCAACTTCTCTATATCCTTTAGCCATCGCTGGTTCAGAACAATCCGTGAAAGCGCCACATGTGCAGCAGATCCATGTGGAATGAGCTCTTTGTCTGGGTTCTCCGCCAAAGGAGCATGAAAGCACCTGCCAAAGCCCCATTCATGCTCTCCAGTCACGTGGTGAAGTACACCCTTCCAGACATCCTAAAAACACACAAAGTAGAAAATACAAACATTTACATCGTGAGTAGAAAAAGATAATGAACCATGGCAGCAAATATAAACAAAAACATTACATTAGTGGACGACTGTATACATGAATACTGTGTTTGTACAAACCATAAACTCTTCTCTGGTGCTTGTGTGCTGACAAGCATACCACTTTCAACAAGCACTTTATCGTGTATTGGGAAAACTGGAATGGATGCTGCTGATGGTGCTTCTAAATTCTCTTCCAAATCTGCCTCCACACAATCAGCAATGTCAAATACAGCTTCATCCAGGCCAATGCTAGGAAGTTGGTCAACTTCATCCTGTGAGACACACCTATTGCACAAGATTTTTTATATATATATATATAATCAGTGAATAGAAAGTGAGAGTGGGGATGTTACTACTTATTTAAAAAATTCAATTATGAAACATACCTTATTGATATTGGAGGTACATAATCTGAGTCATACGGGTCTAAAGCTCCTTCTCCTTCAAACTCTAATCTGGAATTAAATACAGCAGCAAAATATGACAATATATACTGACATATATCATTTCATTGACAATAATTTGTTACTTACAAACTGTTTTCCAAACTATTGGCTCTTTCCTCGTCTAAATAGTCCACTTTCAGCTCCATCGATTTGATGCTACAAAAACAAACAGAATACATTAATTATGAAAACAGAGGGTATGCATCAAATGATTAAAAGCCCTGCATATTTACCTTTCCTCCAACAATTCTACCTCTTGATCTGCTTTTAGAGGTTCAACTCCTGCGATCTGGAAGTCATCCCTGTTGACAAGTACACAGTATTTATTTTATTTGATGTGGAGAACAATTATCTGACATATGAGTTGCATTTTGTTTACAAGTGAACTTACCTATCAGATTCCCCTGCAGTTACTGAACTGGGGCGACAAGGACCTGCAAACACTGCTGTAGATGGCCCACGTGGTGTTGATGTAAGTGGTCCCTTTGATGAAGCGTGCTTCTCATAACTAAAAAAGTAAAGCAACTTTTAATACTCCAGTCATGTGTACACGTTAACAATTGAGATTCTGTTATATAAACAATAGATTTGATTAGCGACGCAGTTTTACAAAGTTTAGACTTCTTTTACACAATTCTAGTACATTACACTAACAATATACTGTAATTTCCGGCCTAAAAGCCACTATTATTTCCCTGTGCTTTGAAGCCTGCAGCAAATATCATGGTGCGGCTCTAAACTTGCAGGCACGTTCACCCGTGTTTAAAATTCGTTTTTGTGAATTAAAACAACAACGAAAAAATTCCGTGTAGCGTCTTTCTGTCTAATTATCTTGTGTTATGGCCAAACATGCGCTGTGCGCCAGCTTGTATTTGGGTGCTGGTGTGTAGAAAACACTTTTTTTTTTGCTGATGCGGCTGGAAATAGGTAATCTGATGTGTAGACGCTAGACAAGCAGCCTATAAATGTTATGATATACGGAAACCCCCCAGCTTACTTTGAAAGCATCCACAGCCCTTTCCCCACACGTGTTTAGTAATAATTTCTTACCTTTTCGGCAAAAATGATGCCAGCTGCGGGTGTGTTTTCATCCTGAGAGACTTTCTCAGCATTTTCCACTCCTCAAATGCTGGACCGATATTTATCCTCGTTCGTTGCCTTCGGCGATCATACTCGAGTTTTGCCCGTTTACCTGCGCTGGAATACACTCTTCTTGGTTTCTTTGACTTGTTTGGGGTCTGGGCTGGAGTTCCGCTAGTGCTTGAAGCAGCTCTCTTCTTGTTCTTTGCTGAATCCATGCTAGCTAAACCACCTCTCGCTCTGCCGCTAAGCTATCGCTAGTAAACAAACGCTGCGGGGATATGCCTGAGCGTGAACGCGCATGACGTCATCACGCATTACGCTGCCTCTGGAAGACCCAGGAAGACCCGGGGGAAGCCTGCCTGCTGGACCCGAGCAAAATCTTATTTTTGATTTTAAAGACCTATAGAGACAATCACAGTAAAATGCCAGGGCTCATTCTACAGAACCAGGGCATTGCAGGAGAATGTTTTAAGAAGAAATGTTTTATTTCTATACATGTTCTGGCTGTAAAACTTGCCTATATAGTCCCTTTAAACGATCCCAACTCTCTCTTTTCTTGTCTCAAAGTCAATACAGAGTGTTTCATTAAACTCCCTGATGATAAAAACAGCCCATCTTCTGATTATAACAAGCGATCTACTTACAGTGTATTAAAATACAACTCTAGATAGTTACATCACTCTATTTCGTTTCAGTGCATTCCAGAGAGTTTGGGCGAAACATGAAAGCCCTCTCATCCAGAGATTTATAATTCATAGGGGGAACACAAAGCAAAAATCAGTCAGCAGTAGGGGTGCAACGATCTTGAGAAAACCCTGACTTGCCAATACCGATTTTGTCTTAACTAAAAGCAGATTACTTCCTTGTTTCTCTTTCCTTTTGTTGACCAAACCAATATTAATACTCATGAAACAATACCAGTTTCAACTGGACATGAGATCATGTTCTCAAATGTAAATGAACATATTTAGCATTGCTGTTTGAACTTCAAAATCTAAGTTGTTCCTTTAGACTTAAATTTTTCTAATTTTGAAAAAAAAACTTTTGTACCTGTTTTGGCACTTGTACAAAAAAGTATGCTATAGCAATGATTTGCTTTAACATTAACTAGGGTTACACACTGTCAGGGATGAATGTGAGAACAGAAGTAACAGGAGAAGAGTGAGAGTGACTATGGGGGGTCCATGAGAATTACTTTAGACTTAAGATCATTACAATTCAGGAAGTGTTCAGCTAGCCAACCCATCACCTCAGCTAGGCATTGGTCAAGGATTGAGAGAGCATTTGAGTTGTTCATGGCTAGGTAGATCTGATGTAATCTGCATAAATATGGTAATTTATGCCAAATTTCTCCAATATTTTACCCAAGGGAAGGATGTACATTGAAAAGAGGAAAGGACAGAGAACAGAACTCTGCAACACTGCCCAACACAGAGAGGTACAGTTATTAATCTGGACCCTTGAAGTTCTATCGAATAAGAGCAGAACCAGTCTAGAGTGATGCCACTGATACCCACCCATGACTCAAGCCTATTCAACAAAATGAGATGGTTGACAGTGTCAAAGGCAGCAGAAAGGTCCAATAGAAGGAGCAGAGCAACAAAACCCAGAATCAGAAACCACCAAAATATCATTAACATGTATCAGAGCAGATTCAGTGCTGTGGAACAGCCTAAAGCTAGACTGAAACGCATCAAAGAGAGAATTACTTTCGATATGAGCTCACATTTGCTTGTGGACAATCTTAAGGATTTAATATAGGAAAGGTACTTAAGTGATGGGGTGAAAGTTTGCATGATTAGAATAATCTAATCCAGGCTTTTTAAGACAACGGAAATAATCCAGTGGTAAGGCTGGAGTTAAAAATGTTCCAAATGACAGGGCCCACAGTAGAGAAGACGTCACACTACAACTTCAGAGGAAGAGAGTTGTGAGGAGAGCCTGTTGGTTTCATAGATCTAATCAGGTTCTCCAAATTCTTAGGTGATATAGGAGCAAAGTTAGAAAATGTTAAAGGACCAGATGTTTCAACAAGATAGGCCAGTCCTGAAGGCAACCGATTATCCCTAATGTCCCAAATAATTTGGAGGAAAAGCCCTGGAACTCGGTGCACAGAAGTAGAGGTGTGAAAATGTCATGCTTGGATGACTACAGGATGGGGTTAACAATGTTTTACGGCTTAAACTGGTTATCCTGGTGCTGTGAGAATTTCAATGAGAAGCTTTTTGTTTTTATGGCAGATCTAAGAGCTTTCTGATATAAATCGAGGGCATCAAGGAGAAGTGTCTATAAAGTCTTTAACCAGAGGTTTTGAGGGACACCAGACAGACTCTTAAAAAGAAAAACTCATCAAAGCACAGATTTATTTTGGCAGCTGGTATCCGAGGATAAAAAGAATAAGAGGGGAAAGTCCAAGTTCAAACTGAGGTTTCAAAGCTGGAGGGGGTTAGCAGGCCAAGGAGGGGTTTGAAGGGGAGAGTTGATAATCCCCCTCCCCGAACAGACAACCTGGGCTCATTCACAACCCGACAGTACCATGGACAGATATCAACAAGGGATGCCTATTCACCAGGTGGGACCCATGTCTCTGTCAAGCAGAACAGACTGTCTCCAGTATTTGCGAAAAAGTCCTTCAGAAGAGTATTCCATAGTAAGCGGACATTCAGGAGAGCAATCCAGAGAGATGACAAGGGTGACGATGGAGGCGAGAGACCAGGTTGAACATCACCAGACCTTGCTAGGTGGCTGAGGTTCTTTCAGTTTTCCGCACCAACATGATTCCACCGGCACACTGCCAGATTGTGAGTGGAGAGAAGGAAGGCCGGGACTCCATCAAACAGCTCCCTGCACGATTACTTGTATGCCACGTGGTGGAACTGCAAAGGCCCAGTTCTCTGCCAGATATCCAAAAGAGAGAGCCAAGTATGTCCTTACATCTATTTGTGCAGCCTACAGCACTGCATGTCTTACCCATTCAATTTATTGACAACTAACAGCTAATGACCACAGTGGTGAGTGGTAAAATGCCGTCTTTTTGCTCCCCAGCCAGATGACGTCAAGTTTCAACCTGTCTATATATTTATTTTTTCTACATCTTTTTTGTTGTTCTTATAATTTGTTTCCTTTATCTAAGTAAAATACACCATTTGATTGTCTTCCAATGTCATTGCATTCTCATACAGTGGTAATAAAAGCTTTCTGATTCTGAATGCAGAGCATGTTGTTACACACTCGGCATGGTACTGTGACAGACTGGTTCCTGTCCTACTAAGAAGTTGATGCCATCTGACCCAGCTCAATACAGACCAGTTGCCCTTACATCCTATGTGATGTGATCTGGAGAGACTTGTCTTAGCCCAGCTAAGGCCACAGGTGAGGATTTCTCAGGAACTCATGCAACTGGCATACCAGCCCCATTTAGGAGTTGGTGATGCCATCATTTACCTGCTGAAGCAAGCCCTTTTGCGTCTGGATTGAGGATCACGTTCTTTGATTTCTCCAGTGCCTTCAACACCATTCAGCCTTTGCTGCTGGGTGAGAAGCTGCGGGTGATGGGTGTTAGCGACACATGGATCTCTAGGATTACTGATTACTTGACTGGCAGGCCACAGTTTGTCTGCTTGGGAAACATCCTATCTGATGTGGTGGTCAGTGATGTAGGAGCTCCACAGGGAACTGTGCTTTTCCTCTTTTTATCCACGACTGATTTTCAGTACAACTCAGTCATGTCACCTGCAGAAGTTTTCTGATGACTCGGCTGTTGTGGGGTGTATAAGTGAGGGAGATTAGGATGAGTACAGAGCACTAGTAGATAACTTGGAGTGTTAAGTGGTCTGAGCAGAATCACCCAAGGCTGTCAGTAAAACCTGGAAGATAGTGATTGACTTCAGGAAGAAGAGGATGCCTTCACAGCCACTACAGATCAGGGGGAAGGCTGTGGAAGAGGTGGAGAACTACAGGTACCTGGGTGTTGTGATAGTACAAGAAGGGATTGAGCAGACTCTATTTCTTGAGGATGCTGAGATCCTACAACGTGTGAAGGGAGAATGCTGGAGATCTTTTACCAGTCTGTTGTTGCCAGCAACATCTTTGCTGCCGTGTGTTGGGGCAGTAGCATCAGAGCCAGGACACTTAATCAATCAATCTATTTAACTATGGTGCTTCCAGTCGGTAACAAGATGGCGTCTGTAAGTGGCTTAGCCGCTGTCACCGGCCACTTTTTCAAACTTTTCTCCACCAACCTCCTCTTTTCCACCTTGCTCCTGTCTGCGATTCTCTTTGGTAGTGTCCCTGCTATGATCGCCAGACTTTTTTGTCCTTCCGTTCTTTCACGATCGCCCAAGATGCACAGAGGACTTACCTCCCTGTTTATCTGAGTGGCGCACTGGTCTGGAGCCAAACGACTATTACAACCAGGGCGCCTCCAGCGATGTTTGTCCGGTCCCGGGAAAACGTCGGAGGAAAAGAGGTAAATGAGCAGGAATCCAGGTGAGAATAAGACTTCTCTTAAAGCGTGGTTTATCTAGTAAACATCGGCGTGATCTTCTAGCTTCTTTTCCTTTGTTTGGCAAGTTGAGTGCCACTTCCACATTCCCGCCAGGCCGCGTTGCGGCGCAGTTTCTCCATCCAAGTTTTGTAAGGTCTGTTTATCTTCATTCGTCAGTGGTCTCTCCTCCTGTTCCCTCCATAAGTGTTTTTTATAAACACCGTGGATCTAACCCTGCTAATTTACGTCCACTAACTCCAGCTGTCTCTGTAGTTTCTGATTCCTCCACCTCACTCAGCATGGCTCTATTAAATACCCGCTCTGTTAACAATAAGTCCTTTCTGCTCAATGATTTAATTCTCTCTAAAAACCTGGATTTTCTGTTTCTGACTGAAGTTTGGCAGCAAACATCTGATTATTCTGGTCTGATTGAACTCTGCCCGAGTGGTTATTCTTTTCTTAAGCCGGGCATCCACTGTGCGACTTTTGCACTTTTTTAAGCCGATTTTCCACTCGTGCGAGTATTCCCAAGATCGGGTCGAGTTTTGCGCTGAGCGTCGTGTAGTATAGAGGATTACGAGAGGCGATTAACACCACCTGACCAGCTACCGATCAGCAATCGTGAGCTCGCACGGACTGCTGGGGTAATTGATATTTTGCTTGTTCCTCATGAGGGTTGAAGAGGTGCAGCGAGCGGCTGCGGCCCAAAAAGTACCAGAACCACTCACGGCGCATGCGCAATCATGCATCAACACCACTCACCCACTATTTCCCTAATAACACACGTTGTTCGTTTTTATTTCTACACGTCTTTTACACACAATGACAAAGATTGTCAAGAAAGCGTGTTCGTCATGTTCATGTCAAAGTAAACTGATCACAAAACACAGATTTACTTTCTTTACTTCGTTTTCCTCATCCAACCCCATAAATCCCTGTGTGTCCTCCTGCAGCACTCCCGAAAGACAACAGGCAAAATGGCACCAAAAAAAAGTCTGACGTGTTGTGTAAAAACTGCTATTTTTGGCATATTTTTAGGTCCGACGTGTTGCTACCAGATGTACAGTGTGAGCAGTCAGGTTGCATCCGAGAACTGGGTCGTACAGTGTGAGCACATGACTCGTGAGATCTGCCCTGCGAGGAAGTCGTACAGTTTGAGCTGAAGCTGAGTACCACGAGTGAAAAAGTTGCACAGTGTCTGCCCGGCTTTAGCCAGCCCCGGGGTTCTGGTCGTGGTGGAGGCCTAGCTGTTGTTTTCAGAGACCATCTTCCATGTAGCTCTACAACCTCTGGTCACTTTGCTTCCTTTGAACTGCAGCTGATTAAAGTCGGGCGTAAGGACCCGTTCTACTGTGCTGTGGTCTTTTTATCTGTGAATTCAATGCCGTTCGGCGAGTCTCAAGTGAAAATTTGGGCATCTTACTGTAAAAAATATACCATTTATGTAAAAAAGAAACTCTAAATAAACTATGTTCACATCCAGAATCGAACCCAGGTCCTCTGCACGAGAATCCGACGTTTTACTAGGTAAGCTAAAGCACCAGTGACGTCCTTTGTATCTGTAACATTTATATCCTTGATGACAGCTGAAACAACGTTCAAACAACGGTTCGGAGCGAAAATGGCTATTTTGTTGCTAATTTGCAGGAAATATCTAGAAGAAAGTTCTACAGAAAGTAGCTAAGGGTCCTCAGGAATGTAGCTAGGTTTGTCACTAGGCGTTAGGAACAGCGACAAAGACTAAAGCTTCGGATAGCAAATGCTACGGGCTCGACCCGAGCAGCTCTCTTTTTCCATGTAGCTCTACAACCTCTGGTCACTCTGCTTCCTTTGAACTGCAGCTGATTAAAGTCGGGCGTAAGGACCCGTTCTACTGTGCTGTGGTTTATCGTCCGCCTGGTCCAAATAGTTCTTTCCTTCAGGAGTTTAGTGACTTTCTATCCTCCACTGTGAAGCTGTCCACACTGGTGATTGTTGGTGACTTTAACATCCACATTGATGATCCCTCTGATCACTTTGCCATGAATTTCTCCAGCCTTATGGACTCCTTCAGCTTTACCCAGCATGTTTCTGGCCCCACACACACCAGGGGGCACACTCTAGACCAGGGATTCCCTAAGTGTGGTGCACCCAGGGGTGCGCAAGGTGAAAAGTGTAATGGCTGCGGAGCTCAGAGAAGTATGTCATATGTCACCATTAGTGTAGCCAGAAACTCATTTGTGGGTGGGCCTAAGAAAAAGTAAGCAGGCCCAATAAATGTAATTGAAAATAAGTATATTTTTGCGCGCGCGCGTGTGTGTCCCCTCTGCATGTGCCCTAGCTTCATAATAACAATGCGCCGAGCTTCAGCACTCTGGCCTGCGTACGCCGATATGTTCCGTATTTGATCATTTTTAACGATGTTGGAGAAATCTGAAGGTGGTGAGTCACTGTGGCAGATTGTAATTAACACCCTGTCTCATGCAGGTGTTCTGACATTGTAAACCTCACACACAGAACATTGTGGATGTAACAAAATAAATCAAGAAAAGATTCCCATCTGAACATCTGAGCTGGACACTGCTCAGCGCAGCTCGCTGTCAGCGCATACGTAAGGTGCACAGCGAGCTGAAGATGTGGAGAGAGGCTTGGAGCGCGTCGCAGAACCAGAGCGCATGCGGGAAGATTTGTCCGACTGAAGCGAGTGTTTTCCAAACCCTGTCTCTCAGAGAGACTTGTCACTTAGAAAATGTTCCCTGATTATGAAACTTTGGCTGAATAGCGCTTGTTCCTGTCTCCAATGTGGCGACACATCCAGGAGCCGTCTGAGGAGAATCCCAGAATCTCTTCAGCTCAGGAAGCGCCTATATGATTACGCACAAGCGTGACGCGTCAACCCGATAACACAGTAAGACCGGGTTGGACATGTTCAGGTTTACGCAGACAATCTTTACATTTAGAATTGGCATACAGATGTAAAATTAATTCAGTAAAATATAAAGCATTTTATTTAAATATCCATTTATTATTGTACAAGCACAGAGAGCCGCATCAGATGGATGGAAGAGCCGCGGGTTGCCGACCCCTGGGTTAAACATTGCATTTTTTATGTGCTACCTGGGCACTCTAAATATTTGTTTAAAATTAAATCAAAGGAAATTGTAATGGTATCGAATGTTTATTAATTACTATTTAAAAAATGAAAGTGATGGGTAAAAAGGTCGATCATATTTTTTTAACCCTGTCTGTTTAGCTTGACGTCTGATATATATATATATATATATATATATATATATATATATATATATATATATATATATATATATATATATATATATATATACATACATACATACATAGCCATGCCCTGATGTGGGGGCTGGGGGGTGTGTCAACATGGTCGGGACATAAAAGGGGGTGCGCGGCTAAATAAGTTTGGGAACCACTGCTCTAGACCTTGTTTTTACCCTGGGTCTAAATGCTGACAGTGTTTGTCCTGAGGACGTTTATATTTCAGATCACCATTGCATTTTCTTTAACTTGTCAGTTTCTGCGTCCCCACCTCCTGCTCGCCATATGGTTAGTTCTCGTTTTCTTAATGAGAGCACAGCTAGCAATTTTTCTGCTGCTTTTGATCCACCTTGTTCTTCTGATAACGACCCAGATTCCTTAACTTCTCAGTTCAACGAGCACTGCCTCTCCACTCTGGACAACATCTGTCCTGTCAGAACCAGATCAGTTCCTGCAGTGAACCCTACTCCCTGGTTTAATGACAACCTTAGCAGCCTAAAGCACCAATGCAGAAAAATTGAGCGTTTGTGGAAGAAAACCCATCTCCACGTCCATCTGCTGCACCTAAAGGATCTTCTGACATCCTTTAACTCTGCAGTCAGAGACGCTAGGGTTTCCTATCTCTCTAACCTGGTGTCCCAGAGCAGAGGGAACCCCAAGGTGCTGTTTAACACCATCAGCAGCATTGTCTTCTCTGCCACTCCTACAGCCTCCATCCACTCTGCTGCAGACTGTGAGAACTTTCTGTCTTTCTTTGTGGACAAAGTCAATAAGGTTAGATCTAGCATCTCTCCTTCAGCCTTATCGCTGACAGCTGCTCTTGATGAACATAACATCTATGATAGCTTCCAGTCAGGTTTTCGTAGAGCTCATTCTACTGAAACAGCTCTTCTTAGGGTCTCTAATGACCTTCTGGCTCACAGTGATGCAGGAGACTGTTCTGTTCTGGTCCTGCTGGACCTGACTGCAGTCTTTGACACTGTTGACCATCACCTGCTACTGGAGAGGCTGAGAGACTGGGTCAGCCTAACAGGATCTGCTCTGGAGTGGTTCTCCTCTTATCTCTCTGAGCGCTCCTTTTCTGTGGCCGTCTCCAAGTTTAGGTCCTCCACCACCTCTCTTACCCATGGTGTCCCACAAGGTTCTGTGCTGGGGCCTCTGCTCTTCCTCCTCTATCTGCTTCCTCTTCAGCACATCCTGAGCTCCTTCAAAGGAATCTCCTACCATCTTTATGCAGATAATATCCAACTGTAGATCTCCTATAAGCCCCATGAGATGTCTAAGCTGCAGCTGTTACACACCTGCTTAGACTCTATCAAAACCTGGATGGTGGGAGTTTTCTTCAGCTGAATGAAGATAAGACTGGGATCCTCATCTGTGCCCCAGACAAGCTGGTTCCCAAAGTCAGAGACTCTCTTGGTCAGCTTGCTTCTCACACCAAACCTTCTGTCAGGAATCTTGGCGTGACCTTTGACCCAGCTCTCACCCTGGATTCTCATGTCAGTTCTCTTGTTCGCTCTTCCTTCTTCCATCTCAGGAACGTTGCTAAGCTGAGTCCCATTCTGTCTCGCTCTGAACTTGAGACAGTTATCCACACCTTCATCTCCTCACGCTTAGACTACTGTAACTCTCTTTTCACGTGTCTGAGCAGAACCTCCCTGAACCGTCTACAGGTGGTTCAGAACGCCTGTGCTCGGCTTCTGACCAAGTCCTCCAAACACACCCACATCACCCCGCTTCTCCTCCAGCTTCACTGGCTGCCAGTCAACTTCAGGGTTCATTTCAAGATCCTGGTTCTGGTCTATAGGGCCTTACATGGACAAGCACCATCTTACATTGGTGATCTTCTTAGTACCTACACCCCCAGCAGGTCCCTGAGGTCCATTGATCAAAGCCTACTGGTTGTGCAGCACCAGGCTAAAGACCAAAGGTGACAGATCATCTGCTGCTGTGGCCCCCAGACTCTGGACCTCTCTCCCCCTGAGCCTGAGATCAGTGGACTCAGTGGTCTCCTTTAAAAAGCAGCTGAAGACTCACCTGTTCAAGCTGGCTTTTGTATGACCTTCTTCACCTCTCTCTCTTTATTCTGCTCTCCCCACCTATTCCACTGTCATGACTTGTGGAAGGCGTTTAACCCAAGACATGCAGAATCAGCTCAGGAGTCAGGAGGTAAGAAATTAAAGTCTTTATTTAAACAAATGGGAACTAAAGTAGCACTGAAATCCAGTGAATGATGCCGAGGGCGATTGTTCAGAGTTCTTAGCTCAGCGAGCTGCGGGGTGCCAAGGAGACGAGTGTAGTGATCCAGCCGGACGGGAGGTGAGGAAGCAGAGAGGAGAAATGCAGGAGCGGTGGAGGAGGATGAGACATGAATGAGGATCCGTGGTTCGTAGCAGAATTTGGTGAAGGTTGGGGTGGTAATCCTAGGAGGGCAAACAAACGGAGCTTCAGGAGCAAGTTCAAAGCCGTAATCCAATAAACAGTCCAAGGTCAAAATCCAAGTAATCCAAACATGCAAGGTCAAACAAGTACGAGTGGCAGGCGTTACCAATACTGGAGTAATCATCCGGCTTTGAGTAGTGTCTCCATCCTCCTTTTAAACCCGAGCTCCAAATAAGTAACTCAGAACAGCTGGTACCTCTCCGCTCCTCACCTGTGGAACACAGAAACCCAAAGATTGTTAATTGAGGAGGAGGACTCACCTAGACCCGAGAACGATGACATCCACCTTCTCCAGGATCCACTGATTTCCCTCTTTCCTATTCACTCTCTCTCTTTCTTAACATTTTTATAATCACAATTGTCTATTTTTTGCTAATTTTAAATATATTTTTAACCATTTTCTAAATTATTTTTTTAATTTTTACATTTTTTTTTTGTTTTTGTGAAGCACCTCGTGATTTTTATCTTGAAAGGCGCTATAGAAATGATATTTTCTTCTTCTATCTATCGATATATAGATATATAGATTTTAACTGAATCTAGAATTAACCGATTTACTGAGAATTAAGTCAAGATGTATTAGTTATTAGGCCATATGTATGAGACATGTGAGACATAAGATTTAGCATTATGACAGTCATTCACACCAGTAGTTGGCGGTAATGCGCTCTTTCATGGTTTGCTAACCAAAACCAAGAGGAAGTCTGGTTAGCAAAGTAGCTTGTTCTTTTGGTTTGTCAGGTGAATGTTTGAATCTCAGCAGTAAAGATTTTTTTTCAGGACAGTCTCTGATGGAGTTTGTCAGCACGCGACTAGCTGCTGCTGAAGAGATCGATGGTCAGCACAGAATGCCGGATGTGAGGAGGAAACTACAGCTCAAACTACACAGGATAGGTATGAAACACCAGCGTTATTTGTGTGGTTTTACCGAGGACACAGTCTCAGAATAGTCTCCGTATGCAGGCCAGGTGTTGTGCCATAAAGTGTTGGTCTGCCCAATAATGTTGGCGTCAAAATTAAACAATATTACCTCTAAAACAGGAAAGGACTTTAGCAGAGGGTTAGTCGTGTTTTCCTTAAAGTTTGTCAGAAGTGTTTGGAGTTTGACATGAATTCAAATACGATTTAACCCTGAATATCAGGACAATTTTTTAACTTTCATTTATCTAGCCAACTGAAGCAGCTTTTATTTTTGTTTACTCTTTCAGAAAAATGGTGCGTCTCTGAAGATCTCTGAATTTGGTCATTTCCAATCAGCATTTTAGTGCTCTGGGTGGGACACACAAGTCCCAACGATCTCCTCAGTCACATCACCGAAGACTAGATTTGTCCCTGCACCCATAACTCTGAAAGGGAGGGGAGAAGATTGCCCCATTCGTGCTGTCGAGCTTGATCTTCTACTGCAACATCAGACTTCAAATCACGCCTTCACACAACAGGGTGATGTCAGATTTGCAAGGGGCATTGCATAAATGCTGCTTGGACAGGACCAAATTCAAAGTTCTTTAGAGACACATTTTTTTTGCAGGGAAAAAAATCAATGAGATTAAAATCCGTGAAAAATGTTTGTACAGAATGACAAGCGGTGGTTCTAACGTCTAAGCTACAAGCCCAGTATTAAGGGCAGATTTGACTTGTATAGAAAATTAAAACAGGATGTGTGTTTTCTCCACAAAAACACTGTTTTAAAGGTGTTATTTTGCTCCCCACAATTTCCCATAATCCTCCAGTCTGGGATGGCTGTTGCTGACTGTGCTCATCCCAGGGCAACTGAGAATCTACACAAACATATTTATTTCAGTAATTCAGTTAGACTGAGACACCATTTAAAGGCTTTGGATTCATTAGCTAATTATAGTGTGACACCTAGAATACTGAACCTTCTCACAATAGTCTAATTTTCTGAGATTTTTAACTTAAGGCTTACCCCGGCTTTCCACAGGAGCCGTCAGCAGCACGTTACTGCAGCAGCACGTCATAGCTGCTGATAGGAACCGCTGTGGTCAACAGAACCTTTTCCACTAGAACCGTCGGCAGCCGTCAGCAGCGCGAGTCGGCCGCGTCTCAGGAGCAGCATGTTGCGGCCTTTATGCGCCGGTTCTATTTTCTACGCGCGACGCCTCTGAAACGGGTCAAGTTCGACATTTTTGGGGAAGGAAAGACAGGAAATCGGACGCGGAAATGGAGAGAAGCTCCCGAGATTTTCAGAATAAAGAAACGTACTGCCTTCCGGTTGCTTTACTTTTAAAAAAAGTTACTAACTGTGCGACCCCGTGAGAAGTTATCACCTAGCTAGCGGTCTCCTTTGTTTTTCAGGTCCGTATTGGCGATTATAAAACAGACAGAACATAAAGCACAAACCTTTTGGAGCCATGTTGTAGTTTTCTCCTGCTTGTTGTTGTGTTTACTGGCGAAGTCACTCGTGTGACTTTGTGCTCGGTTGGTGACAGCTGCTCCCCTGCTGCTTTGCGTCTCGTGGAAGGGCCAAGCAGCAGCTTACCCGAGCAAGACGTGCTGCTGCAGTAACGTGCTGCTGACGGCTCCGGTGGAAACCCGGGGTTACAGCTTATGAAAACCTTAATTATTCAATTCAAGTTTATTTATAAAGCGCCAAATCACGACAAGAGTCGTCTCAAGGTACTTCACATAATAAACATTTCAATTCAGGACAGTTCATTAAGCCAATCAGAAAAAATGTTTCCTATATAAGGAACCCAGCTAATTGCTGTAAAGTCACTGACTAGTGTCAGTGACTTTACAGCAATCCTCATACTAAGCAAGCATGCAGCGACAGTGGAGAGGAAAACTCCCTTTTAACAGGAAGAATCCTCCAGAGAATCCTGGCTCAGTATAAGCAGCCATCCTCCACGACTCACTGGGGATCAAGAAGACAGAGCAGACACACACACACACACACACACACACACACACACACACACGCACACGCACACACACACACACACACAATTATCATAATTATGACAAAAAAGCTTGGAATATGTCACTTTGCATGTAATGAGTTTATCCCATACATAAGTTTTATCTTTTAAGTTGAATTACTGAAATAAAAGAACTTTTGCACCTTGTTCTAATTTTTCACATTTCACCTGTGTTGTCACAGCATTTTCTTTGGTCTGTGTGTCTTGTCCAGAACTCCCACTGCATCATGTCAGGGAAGATGAAGAAGTTTTGATTGACCGGCAGCCCTATAACCAGGAGATGTCCTTCAGTTTGGACCAAGAAGATCCAGAACATTTACAGGAGGACCCAGAACCTTCACAGATAAAAGTGGAACAAGATGACCCAGAACTTTTGCAGATTCTAGAACAAGAGGGTCTCTGCATCAGTCTGGATGAAGAGCTGTTTGTATTGAAGCAGGAGATGGTTACCTCCCTTGTGACTCCTTTTGAGGAAAGAGACCACAGTGAACCAAAACCAAAAGGTGACCAGCTCATTTTTTCAATGTTCTTTGAGGCTGCGATACAAAAACAGGAAGAAAGAATTGAAGCTGCAGAATTAAGCAGAGAGGAAGAAATGTGATAAATCCAGAGACGTCCACAAACCAGAGACAACGTAGATTGTTCAGAACTCAAAAGGCACGGAAAATCTCACACAGGTGAAGTCTGTGGTAAATGTTTTTCCTGAAGCCGGTTTTCAAACAAAAGACATTGGCGGCACATCACGCTAATACTGCAACTACGGTGGACGGTGTGTCCTTTGAATGCGCCATTCCTGCATGGCGAGACTATCGCCTCATTCCTGATAACAATATTACCGCAACACCAGACGTCTGAATGAACATCACGCCACCAAGTGACCAAAAGAAGTGCGAGACAGCAAAGCCCCATGATTTACATCAGGGCAAGCAGGGAGGTGCACATGGAGCCAGTTTTGTTGGGAGGAATGCCACCTCCGGAACGCCGACTCGGGAGTTCCTTAAGGCTTTGGATGTTGTAGGGCTGTGTTAGCTGATGTGGCTCTGCAATATCACATGGACATTGGGGGCATTTCCACTGGACTGGCAGACTAGGGTGGTGGTCTTCATATTTATTGAGGGGGGGACCACGGGGTGTGTTCCAACTACACAGAGATCACACTCCTGAGCCTCCCTGGTACAGTCTATTCAGGGGTTCGGAAGAGGAGGGTGCATCGGATTGTTGAATCTTAGATTCAGGAAGAGCAATGTGGTTTTCATCCTAGCTGTGGAACAATGGATCAGCTGCTCTATACCCTTAGGAGGATCCTGGAGGGTGCATGGGAGTTTGCCAACCAATCTCTTCGTGTTTTGTCTATTTGGAAATGGCGTTTAACTGCGTCCCTCGGGAGGCCCTGTAGGGGATAGTACTTGAGGAGTATGAAGTACCAGGCTCTCTCTGATACAGGCTGTTAGGTCCCTGTATGACCGGTGTCAGAGCTTGGTCTGTTGTGCCGGCAGTAAGTCGGGCTCGTTCCCTGTGAAAGTTGGACTCTGCCAAGACTGCTTTTTGTCACTGACACCGTTCATAACTCTATGGACATAATTTTTAGGCACAGCCAAGATGTTGAGGGGATCTGTGTTGGTGGCCTGAGTATCGGGTCTCTGGTTTTTGCAGATGATGTGGTCCTGTTGGCTTCATCAGAACATGATCTCCGACCTTCGCTGGAGCGGCTCGCAGCTGAGCGTAAAGCAGCTGGGATGAGAATCTGCTCCTCTAAATCCAAGACCATGGTCTTGAGTCTGAAAATGGTAGAATGCCTTCTCCAGGTCAGGGATGACGTCCTGCCTCAAGTGGAGGAGTTTAAGTATCTCGGGGTCTTGTTCACGAGTGAGGGAAAGATGGAGCACAAGATCAATGGGTGGATTGGTGCTGTGTTTACTGTTGTACTGGTCTGTCATGGTGAAGAGAGAGCTGAGACAGAAGGCAATGCTCTCAATTTACTGGTCGATCTACGTTCCTACCCTCACCCTGGCCACTTGGGCTAGCTCCTCCAGACGAATCTTAACATGTTCCCAGGCCAGGTGGGAAATATAGTCCCTCCAGCATGTTCTGGGTCTTTTAGGTAGAGCCATCTCAACTGGCTTCTCTTGATTTATATGTGGGATAGATAAGTTGATTAAACACATCTATTATTTGAGATAATTATTGCAAACATTGTCTGGATTCAGCTCCTTCGGTTAACCAATTTAAGGGAAAACAAGCTAGATTTTTTGAAGGACTTTAAATACTTTTTTGAAGTTGTTCCTCTCAAAACATCATTATTTCATTATTTTTAAACATATTGAGATATATTTGACAGTGATAATGGAATAATTACTAATCATCATTTTCTTCTCTTTTAGCCTATCCAGAATTCCCACAACATCATGTCTGGGGAAAAGAGGAGGTTCTGAAGGAACAGCAGTTCTGTAACCATGAGACAAACTTCAGTTTGGACCAGAAGGAAGCAGAACTTCTACCAGTGAAGGAGGAGCAGGAGGAACGCAGCATCAGTCAGCATGAAGGGCAGTTCATTCTGAAGCATGAAGATGTTTCAGTCACAGAGATTTCTCTTTCTGAAGAAACAGACTGCTGTAAACCAGAACCGAACTGGAACCAACCCTTGTGTCAGAGTTCTGCTGAAGCTGAGAACCAAGATGATGGATGCAGAAATGAAAACTCAGAATCAAACAACAATGATGGCCTGATACAAAACGACGGACACAAACAAACTAATGATCACAAAGACAGTGCAGATAGTCCCAAAGTAAAAAGGCTCATGAGAAGCCACACAGGTGAGAAGCCATATCCATGTGAAACGTGTGATAAATGTTTCTCTGATAAAAGTAGCTTGACTAATCACATTAGAACTCACACAGGTGAAAGGCCTTACTTATGTGAAACTTGTGGTAAATGTTTCTCTCTGAGTACTCAGCTGACCAGACACATGAGGACTCACACAGACGAGAAGCCGTATACATGTCACATTTGTGGTAAATGTTTCTCTCAGAGTTATGCTGTAACTATTCACATGACAACTCACACAGGTGAGAGGCCACATCCTTGTGAAACATGTGGTAAATGTTTCTCTGATAAAAGGACATTGACAAAACACAAGAAAACTCACACCGATGAGAAGCCATATTCATGTGAAACTTGTGGTAAACGTATTTCTCAGAGTTATGACTTAACTGTTCACATGAGGACTCACATAGGTCAGAAGCCGTACACATGTGAAACCTGTGGTAAATGTTTCTCTGATAAAAGGACCTTGACTAAACACAAGAGATCTCACACAGGGGAGAAGCGATATTCATGTAATACGTGTGGTATGTGTTTCTCTCAGAGTTCTAACTTGACTACTCACATGAGAACTCACACAGGTGAGAAGCCATTTTCATGTGAATCTTGTGGTAAATGTTTCTCTCAGAGTTCTAACTTGACTACTCACATGAGAACTCACACAAGTGAAAAACCATATTCATGTAAAACTTGTAACAAATGTTTCTCTCAGAGTAATGATTTGACCAGACACGTGAGAACTCACACAGGTCAGAAGCCATACACATGTGAAACTTGTGGTAAATGTTTCTCTGATAAAAGGACCTTGACTGCTCACAAGAGATCTCACACAGGGGAGAAGCCATATTCATGTAATACGTGTGGTATGTGTTTCTCTCAGAGTAATGATTTGACCAGACACGTGAGAACTCACACAGGGGAGAAGCCATTTTCATGTGAATCTTGTGGTAAATGTTTCTCTCAGAGTTCTAACTTGACTACCCACATGAGAACTCACACAGGTGAGAAGCCATTTTCATGTGAATCTTGTGGTAAATGTTTCTCTCAGAGTTCTAACTTGACTACCCACATGAGAACTCACACAGGTGAGAAGCCATTTTCATGTGAATCTTGTAACAAATGTTTCTCTCAGAGTAATGATTTGACCAGACACGTGCAAACTCACACAGGTCAGAAGCCGTACACATGTGAAACTTGTGGTAAATGTTTCTCTGCTCAAAGGACCTTGACTACTCACAATAAATCACACAAGAAGCCACATTAATGTAAAACTTCTAGTAGGGATGCCCTGATACAACTTTTTTTACTTCCAATATGATACAGATATTGCAGCCTTCAGTGTTGACCGATAACGATATCAATAACCAATATATCAGCCCAAATCATGCATACTTTTACCTATTTCATAGTATAGAATGTATAAAAGGCTTGATCAAATGATATTAATCAAGCAGAGAACAAAAGTACGAAAAAAAATGACCAAGTTTTTATTAACCTTTGGTTGCACCACGGAAGCCAAACTGTCTTTTTCGGACTTTAACAAAAAATGCAGCCACACGGTTGACATTGTTCCTTGCTATTTTGCTGACACCCGCTGTTCTGATCACGTTGACTTTGCATGCTGGATCTGAGCTTTGCTGGATAGAATTGCTGGAATGGAATTTAAAGCTGAACGTACTGCTAATATCTGAGATTTTTGATGCAATCCGATATGATCGGATACAGTGTTTTTGGGCCGATAACCGATATCAATATCGGTACGGGACATCCCTAACTTGTAGTAAATGTTTCAGTCCAAATGAGGACTCTTACATGTGAGAATCCTTTTCCGTGTGTAATCTGTGGAAGTAGATTAAGCCAGAAATCTAAATTAGCATCATATAATTCATAAAGCCAGATTAGCGCAAAAACTCACAGTTCAGAATATGTAAAATGTTGCAATAGAATAAAAAATCTGGTTAAAAAGATTTGAGTCTGTAATTAATCATCAATAAACTGTCCCAGAACATCAATGGGAATGGTTTGTCTGGGAAGGGAAAAACAAAACTTACTCTCAGCTTATAATTCAGCCTAATAATAACTTTAATCAAAGCTGCAACCAGCATCATACTGTCTCTGCAGGTCAGTGCCGCTGTAGCCTACTGTTGCAAGTATGGGCCTTCTACACAGCCAAAGTTCATCGCTCAATTTTGCAAGTCACCACAAGGGGGAACAATAAGCCTCTTTAAAGCAGTAAATCATGCTCCAGCCACCTCTGAGGGGGCTGAAGCAAACTAATGAGACACAGAAGTTTATAACACCTTTCATACAATCTGATCTTTTTTATTAGGATTTTATTCCAAAATTAAGGGATTTTTTTTCAAAAGGTCATAGGTAAATCAGTCTAAATACCCAAAACCATTTCTCAATTGTGTTACTAAGCCACACCAATGAGACACAGCAGTTTATAACACCTTTCATACAATCTGATCTTTTTTACTAGGATTTTATTCCAAAAGCAAGGGATTTTTTTCTAAAGGTCCTAGGTAAATCAGTCTAAATACACCCTGGGTCTAAATGTTGACAGTGTTTGTCCTTAGGATGTTTATATTTTAGATCACCATTGCGTTTTCTTTAACTTGTCAGTTTCTGCATCCCCACCTCCTGCTCGCCGTATGGTTAGTTCTCGTTTTCTTAAAGGGACTTTACAGAGTTTTGAATTTTTATGCTCTCGATTGCCCCCTCAGGCCAAAAGCGTAATGGCAGCTTCAATTGTAGGCTCGTGCACGAGGCATGCATGCTGTACGTGCACACTCCTTAACGAAAATAACAGCTGAGACAGTCCCGTGTGTGTGGCCCGGAGGACAGAGGACAGGAGAACGCGCAGCTAATTAATTAAATAATTTGGTTCTGTATAGGGCTGCAACTAACGATTATTTTCATAATCGATTAATCTGTCGATTATTTTTTCGATTAATCAATCAATCGGTTTGTTATTGATTAGCCATTTAACCTATACAAGTGATGGATGCATTTCAGTTAAGAAAAAAAAACTAAAAGAATTGTGCAGTTGACTGCAATCTATTTTATTGCACATGAACACAGTCAGCAGTATAAAATGAGCTAAACAGTGCAAAATATCAGTCCAGAATAATTTTTTAGCATTAGCTGGAAGCCTGCTCCTTCCACCATGGATAGTGGCCTCATGTCTTTTACCAGCATGTTTAGAATAGAGTTTGTAAGTGGTATGAATTGCTGGGGGGTGAGTGTCTTGTTCCCCATGTAGTTGTCCATCGTTGCTTGTTTTTTTCTGCATAAGAAACACAAATAGACTGAAATAAGTACACATATAAAATAAAGCAGCACACACACTACAACACTAAATCAATATTATATTATTTGAATTAATTAACAATATACAGTGATCATTTATTTTGAGGGTTACGTTCTACAAAATAGCCCGCAACAGGAGAAATTCAGAAAAAAAGTCTAATTTTTTTACTATTAAAAAGCTCTAAGTAAGAAGCTCATGAGGTTTTTACCTTGAGTCGGGAGTGTTTAAATTAGCTAGAGAAATGTGAAAAATGTTTATTTTGTGTAATACTGTTTATGAAACATGATAAAAAATGTGTTGTGAGGCGTTTTACAGCGTTAGATAGTAAAATAGCCTTTTAATAGTAAAAAAAATGACTTTTTCTGAATTTCTCCTGTATTTAAAAATTGAAAGCGTACAACTATGCCGCGTTATATTCACCTGGACACAGCTCGTCTGTATATTTTTCACCGCGGAGTTGTCCTTTTTTGAATGAGGAACATAGTTATGGGTTTGTGCCGTTTTTCTCTTAACGAGAACATTCTTATAAACAGACGTGCTAAATTTGGCAAGTGCATGATACACAACACGGAGGAGATTCACGATTGCATCTAGTCAATCAGAAGTAGAACACCGTAGACTGACGTGGCAAAAAAACATGTTTAACATCCACTATAACGAACTCAGCTAAAACACTAAGTCCAGCTTGTTTATTTTCTGTTACTTACCGGGCTGGCTCTTCCAAATGACGGCTCACTTGACCGCGGTGCTCTTCCTCTGCTGCATCAGCCCCCACATGTTTTCGTCTCAAATGTTCACTTAGGGACGTCGTGCTTCCGTGCCATGCTAGATGGTTTTTGCATATTTTGCAGGTCACCCGTCTTTTCATGGCATCTAGAGTGAAGTGCTCCCATACTCGTGAGGTTTTTGTCCGGGGTTTCTCTTCAGTTTTGTGGCTTCTATTTTTCTTCCGTATTTCCTCTTGTTCCGCCATCTCTCACAGCAAGATGAGCGTCAGTAACGTGATACGTCATGAAAACCGAGGGCACTCATTGGCTCATTTCTTCTTCTACGGCTCCACTGGTAGATCAGTGGCTCATTACTGCCACACACTGGTGGCAAATTTAACAGCTTGTAACCGATGTCAGATTGTGGTAAAAATGGACTTTTTGCGGTAAAATATGATTATTAAACAACTAATCGATGACTAAAAAAGTTGTTAACTATTTTAATAATCGATTATAATCGATTAAATCGATTAGTTGTTTCAGCTCTAGTTCTGTACCTTTCTCTTCAGCAAAGCCGACAAAGGTTTAAGATGGGTCAGTCCTCCTGCATGCTCAGATCATTCCCTTCCCTTGCTTGAAAAATTGTTCCAAAATGAAAGTTGAACCCACATCTTTTTTTATCTGTGAATTCAATGCCGTTCGGCGAGTCTCAAGTGAAAATTTGGGCATCTTACTGTAAAAAAATATACCATTTATGTAAAAAAGAAACTAAATAAACTATGTTCACATCCAGAATCGAACCCAGGTCCTCTGCACGAGAATCCGACGTTTTTCTAGGTAAGCTAAAGCACCAGTGACGTCCTTTGTATCTGTAACATTTATATCCTTGATGACAGCTGAAACAACGTTCAAAGAACGGTTCGGAGCGAAAATGGCTATTTTGTTGCTAATTTGCAGGAAATATCTAGAAGAAAGTTCTACAGAAAGTAGCTAAGGGTCCTCAGGAATGTAGCTAGGTTTGTCACTAGGCGTTAGGAACAGCGACAAAGACTAAAGCTTCGGATAGCAAATGCTACGGGCTCGACCCGAGCAGCTCTCTTTTTCCATGTAGCTCTACAACCTCTGGTCACTCTGCTTCCTTTGAACTGCAGCTGATTAAAGTCGGGCGTAAGGACCCGTTCTACTGTGCTGTGGTTTATCGTCCGCCTGGTCCAAATAGTTCTTTCCTTCAGGAGTTTAGTGACTTTCTATCCTCCACTGTGAAGCTGTCCACACTGGTGATTGTTGGTGACTTTAACATCCACATTGATGATCCCTCTGATCACTTTGCCATGAATTTCTCCAGCCTTATGGACTCCTTCAGCTTTACCCAGCATGTTTCTGGCCCCACACACACCAGGGGGCACACTCTAGACCTTGTTTTTACCCTGAGTCTAAATGCTGACAGTGTTTGTCCTGAGGACGTTTATATTTCAGATCACCATTATATTTTCTTTAACTTGTCAGTTTCTGCGTCCCCAACTCCTGCTCGCCATCTGGTTAGTTCTCGTTTTCTTAATGAGGGCACAGCTAGCAGTTTTTCTGCTGCTTTTGATCCACCCTGTTCTTCTGATTACGACCCAGATTCCTTAACTTCTCAGTTTAACGAGCACTGCCTCTCCATTCTGGACAACATCTGTCCTGTCAGAACCAGATCAGTTCCTGCAGTGAACCCTACTCCCTGGTTTGATGACAGCCGTCGCAGCCTAAAGTGCCAATGCAGAAAAATTGAGCTCTTGTGGAAGAAAATCCATCTCCACGTCCATCTGCTGCACCTAAAGGATCTTCTGACATCCTTTACCTCTGCAGTCAGAGACGTGAGAGTTTCCTATTTTTCCAACCTGGTGTCCCAGAGCAATGGGAATCCCAAGGTGCTGTTTAAAACCGTCAGCAGCATTGTCTGTCTTGCCTCTCTACAGCCTCCATTACTCTGTTGCAGACTGTGAGAACTTTTTCTTTGTGGACAAAGTCAATAAGGTTAGATCTAGTATCTCTCCTTCAGCCTTATCGCTGACATCTGCTCTTGGTCAATATAACTGCTGCCTCCAGTGCTAAATAAATTAAAGTGAGAGTCAAGGCATGGGTGAAGACGTATTTCATCTACACTTCCTGTTCGGAAACTGCTTTTGAAAGACGCGTCGCCTGGCGGACCGAGAGAGCAGCAAGCCTAAAAATGAGTTAATGAGCACATGCACGCAAGCACGTACTAACACAAGACTTACCACTCTGGAAAGAAGCAGACACAGATTCTGCAGCAATCTGGAGGGTTTCCTGTTAACCACGATCATTTGATGAAAAGGGGAGGTGGGTATTTTTTTCAAGGAGCCTCACACTGAAGCCAGTCGGACGTGCATGTGGGCTAGTACGAGTGCCCTGCTTAGCTACTTGGGTTAGCTAAGTTAGCTGGTAGCTCTTTTCCCATTTGCCGATTGTCTGGGTGTGACTCGGCAAAGAAAAAAAATCAGTGATTGGAACCTTCCATTTTTGGCTTCAACTTGCTCTCCGATGGAGCAATGGGTGGTCTATGTCCATATTTTATATGTCGATGACCGATTACTATGTCACAGGCTGTATACCCGAAGAGACGCATTACCTCTGGAAGTTGTTATATACTGCTTGTACGTTATATACTGCTTGTACGTTTACCTGACAGTTAGCTCGTAAATGGCTTATAAAATATCGTTATTATACTGTATACAAGAAATTTCACCCATTTTTCACAGTCATTCACGGAATCATGACAGGTCTTTTTCATGAATCATAACAAGCTCTGTATATTTTTGCTAATAATTATACTACAGTTATGTATTTTTGAATAATATCACCTATTTAAAATAAACCCTGCTTAATAAGTTACTATACTGTAAACAAGAGCAAAACTTTCATAACATGCTACTTTCATAACATGTAGGTATATTCGACAACAAAGCACAGACTAAGAAACCGGCGCTGCACAAAACAGTATTTACTTTGGTGACTGTGTGTTAAAATGCCGAAATTCTATGTGGTCTACGGTTATTACAGTCACACTTATCGGGACAAAGACCAACGTATTTTTTAAGTCCCAAATGTAGTGTACCACAAAGGTCTTAATAAATAAATAAAATGTACTGAAAGAAGTTGGCAGAAGTGGATCAGTAATCTATTGCTTAAAACAGGAGATGGACAATGCTGGAGTTTACGGCGTTCACTTTTCTAACAGGTAAGAGATTACTGTTTTATTAAACAGTTGCTTAGCCATAAAAACAGCAGGTTAACAGTTTTATACTGTATTCACTCATCCTCATTGCAAATAGCTTTGAGTGCTGTTTTTAGCAGTTAGCTTAGTGGTGTAATGTGGCGTTTATACCTTATTAAATCAAACAAGCCAACCAAATTTGGATTTAAAAAGGCACAAA